AACAATATAAGGTACTTGAAATAAAGAGGTAGACTTGGCCACCATCAAATTCAGAAGGCTGAAAGTCTCTTCTGATGCTTCCATTCTAACAGTAAGCATTCCAGTAATATTTTTTTCTTCAGTTCACGTACCACAAAGATCAAAACCTACACCTACAAAGGCCATCATCTGCATCCTTGAAATCATTCACAAACACCACAGTCATCTAGAGGGAGAGACTGACTTTTCCTTTTCATAGTGTTAACTCAGATTACTTTAATATCTAAAAAGTGTCTTTAGCCTCAATATAGAAAGATAAATCCAGTATAACTTTGGTTTACACTGTTTTCTTATGTGTGCCAATGAGATCCCCAAACCTCAAGTAGACAAGTACATAGGACCAAACACAATTTTAGGAATTTTCCTATTGAAATGCAACACTTTATAAACATGTGAGGCCTTTTCATTAAAGGCTTTAAAAATCATGTCAACAGACATCGCTTGAGAATGGAAGAGTTTGAATGTGCAGATTGTTAACTTACAAAAAGTTTTGAATTAAACCTATCACAATCTGTAGCTCTGATTTTAATTTTTCTTATGAAGTCCAATATAAAATTGTCCTGTATCCCTCCTTCTCCCCAAGTAAAAATATTCTAACTGATGATCCTTTGAAAATGTATGTAGAAAGAATGAATAATTATACAACAGCAACTAACACTTTGTATCACTCTAAAAAAGAAAATTATTTTTCTAAAGCAAAAATATAAATCACAGCCCTGGAATTTCAGGGACTTAAGTGATTTTTCCATCAAAGTAATGCCAAGATAAAATGCAAATGGTCAATTACAAAGCATATACTTTTTATGCATATACAAGGCCTGGAGAGTTTTAAAAACCAAGGTAAGATTGCCTGGTCAGCAATTTACCCCCAGGCAAACAACATTTTAAACTAACCCAAAACAATAAAGTAATAACAAAATAATGATTTACTAGGTTGTTACTCGGAGCATGACTTTTGTCACCAACAAAGAAAGCATACTGTGAAATAAAGCATTTTCTGTCAAAACAGAAGGTACAGGCTGAGTCCAACAGTACCCTGACTAAACTTTAAATTCTACTGCACACAATCTGCCTTAAAATTCAGGGTTCAATACCTCAACATGTTAAAAGCTATATATGACAAACCCACAGCCAATATTATCCTCAATGGAGAAAAGCTGAAAAACTTTCCCTGATATCAGGAATAAGACAAGGGTGTCCACTATCGCCACTGCTCTTACATCAAGCTATACTACAAAGCCATAATAATCAAAACTGCAGGGTACTAGAACAAGAACAGACATATAGACCAGTAGATTCAGACAGAAAATCCAGATATAAACCCACAGGTTTATGGACAGCTAATCTTTGACAAAGGAACAAAGAAGATACAATGGAACAAAGAAAGTTTGTTCAGCAAGTGGTGCTGGAAAAACTGGGAAGCTACTTGCAAAAAAAATGAAACTAGATCACTACCTCATACCATACACAGAAATCAACTGACAGTGGATTAAAGAGCTGGACATAAGAATGAAACCATAAAAAACCTAGAAGCAAAGATGGGTCGAACACTACACTACATACACTTAAGCGACATCTTCAAAGATAGAGCACCCAATGCAACAATAGTGAAGGCAAGGATAAATAGATGGAACTACATCAATTGAAGAGCTTCTGTACAGCAAAAAAGAAACATTACAAAAAATAGACATCCCAATGATTGGGAAAAAATTTTCTCACATAAAACTAGTGATAAAGGATTGATCACAAAAATATACAGAGAACTGATAAAACTCAACAAAAATAAAGTAAACAGCCCCATCAAAAAATGGGAGGAGGAGCTACAAAGACACTTCTCCAACAGGCATATGAAAAAATGTTCAACATCACTTGTAATAAGAGAGATGCAAATTAAAAACACAATGAGATACCACCTCACCCCAGTGAGAATGGCACATCTTCAAACAACTAACAACAACAAATGTTGGTGAGGATGTGGAGAAAATGGAACTCTCCTGAACTGCTGGTGGGAATGCAAACTTGTACAACCACTATGGAAAACTGTTTGGAGGTTCCTCAAACTGCTGAACATGGAGCTTCCATGCAACCCAGCAGTCCCACCCCTAGGCATCTACCCAAAGGACATAAAAACACTGATTCAAAAAGATACCTGCACCCCCATGTTTATTGCTGCTTTATTCACAATTGGAAAGACATGGAAACAGCCCAAATGCCCAAAAATGGATGACTGGATTAAAAAGATG